TCACAAGGCAGATGGGGCAAACAAAGTGATAAAGGGATTTACCTATGGAGCCTACAAGTCTGGTTAATTAAAAGATAATGTAAGAATTTCAAGGAATAGATGTAAACAGACTTTCCTTGTCTTTGTTTAACTCTCATGGTTTCTGGCTAAGACCCTTTCTTATCTCTGCTGTGTCATAAAGAATTTATACTGCAACACAGGTTTTCATTCCAAAAGGGTCCTGTTAGCAGCACTATACCGTGAAAAGTCTTGCTCACTTCAAAAGGAGTTAGCAAGGCTTTTTTTGTATAAATCTATAAGTAGCAGCTAAGTTTGCTGAGATCTAATACGGCGTAGACTTGCCTCTTTTTGAATACAGCTTTTTAGGAATAAGTGGGTGTTCTTGCAAAGTTTGTAGTGTAGTCACAGTTGGCTAAGCAGTAACAAGTTCCTAGTTGTGCAGTTGTCAGTCACACAGAGGTGCAGATTGTCCAGAAATAAGGGACAATCAGCAGCAAGGAATATATAATGTAGTGATGTCCTCCATTTTGAATTGTGCTGTAACCTTCATCTTGAAAAATGTGTAGTTTGTCCTTCAGTGACCTTCAGAGCTACCTAAGAAGCATATAATGAGGGACATGTAGTAGGTGTGTCAGGAAGTCTGTAACCACCTGAGGATCTCAGCCAATGGAGAAAGGGGAAGGAACCAGCACTCCAGGCAAAGGGGATAAAATAGGCTGAGACCTTCACAGAGTTGAGAGGCCTCACTGAGATTTGTTCAGTGAACTCTCATAATTAGCTCCTCTGTCTCCTGGCTATTTATGCAGGTCTCAGTACCTGGATTTTCCAAATAGTAGGAAGCTGTAGTTTCATTTGGGCAGGCACTTGATAAAGAAAAGAACTTCTGTTTGGGGACACAAATGATGACATCCTGTGGTTGCTCATGGGATGATGAAAACATGCCTCGTTCCATAGAGAAAACTGCCATAGCCCCACTGCTGTGTTAAAAAAAAAAAAAAGGCAGCTTCTGGTCTTCAGGGATGGTCTTCCTTTGTTCCCCAGCTAAAACTACGCAGAGTTAGATCCAAGCCATGCAGAGCCTTCTGAGATCATACAATCATTCTTAACAAGGATGTAAAGCAGCTTTCCAGCAACTCTAACTTGCTAGATTGGTGACTTCTTCATTATAAACTTTAGAAGACTTTTCTGATTTAGGTGGCTTTGGAATAGGGTATTGTTTTATTTCTGGTTTCTTTTTTAGGCATCTGGACCGAAATGACAGCCTGAAACACGCAGGCCTCATGAATATGTGGACATTCCCCATCCTAAAGAAAGTTTACAGGCACAGTGTAATAGGACCCAGAATAAGGATCTCTGCTTGTAAAACCTCTCTCTGCCTGCTCTGGACAGAAGCATGTTGCAGGCTCTGACAATCAGCAGCAGGTCAGAATGTCAGGGCAAGAGGAGGCATCACTGCAGCAGAATTCACCCCTCACTCCCCACAGCAGCCTTTGTTCTGATGCTTCCTTGCAGAGGGGTAGGAGCACCCCCTGCCTCCAGCCAAAAAGAGACCAAAGTCTCAACATTTAAGAGTTAAAGTTTTATTGGACTTCAGTTGATGGAGAACAGAAAGGCAACAACGGCTCAGGTGTTCAATCACAAAACACCCCAGGAAGTGTCACATACAGGGGCTTAACACAGTTTGCAGGGAGACAATTGAAGAAGTTGTTTTTAAACTACTCTCCAAGGAAGAAAGGTGGATCCACAGCCCTGTTTTAATGTTCCCAATTACTGTCCTCCCTCAGTCAATTTCATATCCTTCCCCAAAAGAAGCTTAGGACACACCTCTCCCCCATGAGTTAAAGAAATAAATGGTAGTAAACTCAGGGAAAGAAATAGACTTCGGAGTCACCATAGATCTGTGCAGGAATCAACATTTGTGACTCTAGAAAGACTGGTTGTGACAGACTATTTTTAACAAAGCTAACAAATGGGTAAAGTTTCTACTGTGACACTTTAACCCAACTTGTGTATAAAACCTGTTGAAGTACTTTGCCTCAACACGTGTCTATGTGTTTGACAAATCACTTCCAAAGGATCTGGATATTACTTGGCTCACTGACAAGGGGAACCCAAGACTTTAAAGCAGACCTGTGAGCTGCTTCAACTGACAGTGCAGAGCAGCCCAAATGACGTCTCTTTAACCCTTCATAACACAGTGATTTTTGAGGAGTTTGCCCAAATTTCTACCACATAAGGCCAAGAGTTTGCATTAACCGGAGAGGTCAGAAAACAGGCTTGTACTTATTCTGAAGTATTACAATTTGCTACAATATTTTACTAAATTATGGACAACTTTTTAGCAGAGGTACTGGATCTCAACCATCTAAGGAAAAAATGCTTTCAATGGACAGCCCGAGTCTTGAAAAAAAGGATGGACCAGAAAAAAGCAGCTTCAAATATGATATAAGCAACACCACTACCACAAGGAGTTAACAATACTGAAACTTCTTTAATGAAAATGTGAAATACTATCTTATATACTATTAGAGGAACTGGATCTTGGGTTTTAAATAAACAAGATACTGTTTAATACTAACATATAATCTTACAGAAAATTATCTGCAGTTTTAAATAAATAAGCAACTGTTCAACACTAAGATAAAGAATCCTAGGGTAAGTAATCTTCAGTTTCAAAAAATAAGCCAAGTTCATAGATATGTATTGGCAGAAGCAGAAAACTGCTGCTAGGAGTCCTCTTGCTGTTTGTCAAATTCCTGTATTAGTCTCTTAATGCGAGACAGCTTGTTGTGCAGGTAGTGACATCCTCTCCATCAGAGGAACTGGGGCTACACTAAACAGGAAAGGTAAAAAGAAAAGTAGGGTATGCAAACATTTCTGGAGAGTTTAGAATTCCATGTCCTCGAGGGATGCATGGAGTGAGGGGTCTGACTCAGCCTAACATTCATGCTTGGCTCAAGATGTACATGTATTCAGTAGCAGGCATATACATATGCATTCCATTCCTCAGAAGTCATCTTAATATGAATTAGCTGCTGGGGTCTGCACAGAGTCTCAGAGGGTCTTCTTGAGGATCTTTAGGCACCCAAGGGGGGTTGCTGAGCATTTGGACTTTGCTCGACCCTTCATCATGGTCTCCCACACAAGGCATCGGTTTCACCTCGGTTCTGTGAGCTGCGCAGGATGTTCCTGAGCAAACTGGGCTGGGCCGTTTTGGCATGTTACAGAGGTGGTGACAGAGCTCTCAAGGTGCCACTAGCTGTGAGTTCCTCTAAACCATTTAGCCCAAAAGGCCATGGCAGCCCCAGGGCAGCCGCCCACATCCTGTAGGCCAAGGCTGTCCATAGCCATGGATTCTGCAGGGGACGGGCGTGGCTGTGCGGGCATTGTGATCTCGCTGGTGATGTTGGCTCTGGAAAGCGCTGGTGGGTGTCACAAAGGGCTCCTGCCTGGCAGCCCTATAAAAGCCGGGCAGCCGCCCCAACCCTTGGCCACAACCACCATGGCCCGCTACCGGCGGAGGTCGCGCAGGGGTCGCAGCCGCAGCCGCAGTCGCAGCCGGCGCCGCTCCCGTCGCCGAGGCGTGCGGAGGAGACGCCGGACCCGCCGTCGCCGCCGGGGCGGCAGGAGGCGCAGACGCCGCTGAGCCGAGCTCAGGGCCTGGGCCTTACAGAGCCAGAGCGCCCAGAGCGCGGCCCTGACGCGGGCCTGGCTCTGCCAATAAAGCACAGCAAGCTCCCATGAGATTGGGGTGTCAGTGTCCCTGGTGTCCCTGTGCGCCGGCAGCGACTCGCTCGGGGTGCGCCTGGGGCCCGCGTCTCTCTGCTCACCTGGGCTTTCCCTGGTTCATGAGAGCCCCCTGGACCCCACTCTGGAGTGCTCCACTGTGGATTGGGCCTCTCGGAAACGGGGCCCTATTCCATGAGTGCATGCCCTGCATGCAGTTTTGGGATTACGGCCACTAGTTTCCAGGCACTTCCTGTCTTCTCCCCCATCTGGGTATCAGCACCCCCTCAGCTCGCCAGGGTCTTCTTCTCAGTTTTATCCTTCTTTACCTGATATGCTGAAGATCCCAGAGTCACAAACTTCTGTTGTTCATCCAAAGTCCTGAATTTCTTGGCCATATTGTCCATCTGAGCCAGCAACTTCTGGTGTTTCCCATACTCTGCATTGAAGTCATCCTTATAGCTCTGGTGTTGCCCATAGGAGAATATAGCTATGTATTTTCTAATGGGAAAAGGAGAATATTTGGATATTAATGTGTTCCGAGAGAACATTCTAATGTGCCTCTATTCTATAAAGCACACGTGCAATTTTACACCAAGCTTGAATTGTTTACGCAAGATAAGCATAAACAATTTACTGCCACAGTAAATGGCCTAAAGGTGTCCACTTACAGAGCTGGAGCGGTTGTAGCTCAGTGTGCCATGACACCTTGAATTAAACATCAGACATTGGCAAGGCCACAGGTTCTTCCCTAGAGAGGCAAGCCCCAAAACTGTGCAACAAGGAGAACACAAGGCTGTGGACTCCCATGGGATGTGCACATGGAGTTCTCCTGGGGCTATTTTCGGGAATAGAGTTCAGGAACTCCCCCTGTAACATCAAAGAGCGAGCTGCAAAACCATCATCCACCTGCTAAGCTGCCCACTATTCTTTCCTGAGTCTCCTACGGTATCCTAGTTCACTTTGATCCTGATGAGAATAGGAGCTGGACTAGATCCTAAACTGACCAGAAGTCTTTCATTTCTGACAGAAGAGTATTTACGCTTTCCATGTTCTTCCATAGGAAAACTAACAGCTGAAAGAAAATCTGCCAGCGGGTGAAATGAGCATAAATTGGGCTTTGCTTTTGCCATCACGGGAGGTGTTTGTTTTTCCACTGTAAACCTTCAGCTTGTTTCACCAGCGTTCCCAGCTGTGTGTCTGACAGGTGAAGTTCTGTCTGCTGTTGCTGTTGGTGGGGCAGAGCATCTGCCACCTTCCTCCTTTGGGGATGTGTCTGGGAGCTTACTAAAGGGGAAATGGTGGGGAGAGTTCCAGTTGGGAGGTGAAGTGCACTGCTCTATTCTCAGATTTCAATTTACCTGCTGTCCGAAAGATAAAATTATTATCTTTATTGGCAGAGCTAGGCCCACATCAGGGCCACACTCTGGGTGCTCTGGCAACTAATGCATATTAAAATGTCTTTTGATAAAGAGAATCCACACATATATCCCTGGCTAGTAAATACATATATCATCTTGAGCCAAGCATGAATGTTAGAATGAATCACCCCCCCATGCATCCAGCGCTGCAATGAGTTAATGGTGCTTCTTAGTACTATATTGGTGTTCAGGAGTTTTATATCCAGTTTTCGGTGAAACTTGCATCACTATGCCCATGTACCAGTGAGTGCACCAGACACTGCCTTGGCACAGCCATTGTGACCTTTCTGGTGGTGTTGGCTCTGGAATGTGCTGGTGTCACAAAGGGCTCCTGCCTGGCAGCCCTATAAAAGCCACGCAGCCGCCCCAGCCCTCAGCCACAACCACCATGCCCTGCCACTATCGGAGATCTCACAGGAGCCGCAGTCGGAGCCGCCGCCGCTCCCGTCGCCGTGGCATGCGGAAGAGACGTCGGGCTGGATCCCGCCGATATCGCCGGCGTCTCTCCCGTGGCAGGAGGCGCAGACGCCAGTAACGCTGAGCTGAGAGCGCTGGCCATAATGCAGTCCTGGCTCTGCCAATAAAGCACAGCAAGTTCATGTGAGGGTGTGAATGTCCCTGGTGTCCTTGTGCACTGGCAGCAGGTCCCTGGTTTGGGAGAGCCCCCTGTACCTGAAGCTGGAGCGCTCCACTATGGATCATGCCTATTAGAAAGAGGGCCTTATTCCATGAGCACATGCTCTGAGACCCAGATTGCTCAAAAGCTTTCTTTTTCCTTGCTGCACATGTTCCAAGAGTGACACTTCCAGTGCTCTTTCCGTGCAAAGCCTTCTGGAGGCAAAAAGGGACATGGTGTGGGGAGGAATGTTAGTAAGTGGGAGCTTGCCTTGAAGTCCCTTTTGCCAGGGCAGATGCCCAGGGGGTTTCTAACCCTGAGCAAGAGCAGGACCCTCAGGGCATGTCATGTGTTCTGGATCTGGCCAGGACAGGGTTAATATTTGCAGTGGTGGAGTGGTGCCAGGTTCCACAGGTTCCATGTGCTGAGCAATCGCGTGTGAATCTCTGACCTGTCTTGTACACTCTGCTATTAGTATTGTTGTTGCTGTTCATCTTATTTCATTGCTGTTTCTAGCAAATTTTTCTTATCTCAACCCATGATTTTTACTTTCTTGTGTCTCCAAATCTCCATCCTGTGCAGGGGTAGTGGTGGGGAAGCGAGCAAGTGACATGTGGTCTTGGGTCTTTCAATGTGAACACTAAACTGGGGAATACCATTCCTAAACCATGAATATGGAAATATGGAAAACTCATATGTGTAAGTGATTACTTTCCTTGTCTAGTCTTACAGGAAAATTAGCCTGCTGAAAAGCAACTGCTGTAATTGAACTGAAAGCCTGTTAGGTAACATTTATTCTAAATTAAAGATTTTATACAGTTACATATAAAGCAACACATGAATATTGCCAAATAATCTTTATAATACTATTCTACATATTATCTTTTGGTGGGAGAAATTCCTGTGGTCTTTTTTCAGTCCTACAGTGACAAAGAATTCTATAAAGCAAATTGCAGCTGAATTTTTCAGCTCAAGCAAAGAAAAGTTAAGTAAAATAGCAGAAACTGTTACATTTGAGCTACCTTTCCAAAGCAGATGGTTAACTTGAATACTTAAGGCCAAAGAAGGGGAAATGAGAGGATCTGTGTGTTGAACAAAAAAACATAATGGAACTGTGCAAATGCATTCTGTTCCTCCCCCAAATGGATATTCTAATATTCAAAACATCACTGAAGGTTGAGGCCAAAATTTCAAGTGATTTTGTTTCCTTTCTCCAGTTGTGTGGCAAGACAAACTTCGTAGGTCAGGTTTTCTTCCCTTGCCCTTCAGTAACACCAGCTTACAGCCCCAAGGTCTCTTTTCTTCCCTGAGAGGCAGCAAAGACTAAATTATGTTGGCACATACAGGTGCTGCCAGCCATTCCCTCCTACCTTCATTTCTCCTGCAGTGCTCCATTGCCTCAGCTGCTCCTCCCTGTCAGGTGTTCTGAGCTGCCAGAACTCACTCCATCTTCCCATGTAGAGGAAAATCCTGAAATGAGGGAGATGCCTTCCATTAACTGCTACATATTTTAATACTGCCAGTTCTCAGCTGCTGAAAATACGAATTTCTGTGCCCTTTTCTCTTTCCCCAAAGGATACATTTTGCACCCCAAACCTGCAAACCATGCATCTGGTCAAGGGTGAATATCTACTCCACAGGTAGCTAGATCCCACCACTTGGCTCAGCCGCCTTTCCTTAGACCTAGAACTTTTTTCCCAGTTTGTGAAATGCATATGGTTTCTTTTCACTGTCTGATGATGATCAGGGCAGCCTCACTGTGTGGAGGGCTGCCAAGAAGGGACGGACAAAGTGCATAGGAGTGTGACAAGACATGACAGAGGACAAAAACCAAGGAGAGTGAAGTTGGGAAGATGCAGATGTGGACAAGAGGCCTGTACTCAAATATCACCTCTTTGCCTATAGCCTAAGCCTTCACGTTCTCCTAAAGCCCCAGAGTTACAGTAGAAGGAAGCCCTTCGGAAGGAACTGTCATTTTGCAGGCTAAATCCTATTAGCAACAGCTGAGAGAGAAAATACCACGGTGGCTGGATGGGTAGGGTACCATAATGTACAACAGGATACAACAGAACATTTCATTTAGAAGACACCAATAATAACTATATAGTACAACTGCCTGACCCCTTCAAGGATGACCCAAATTTAAAGTAAGTCATTAAGGACATTGTTCAAATGCCTCTGGAACTGATACGCTTGGGGCATTGACCACCACTCAAGAAAGCCTATTCTAGTGTTTGACCACCCTCTCACTAAAGAAATGTTTTCTCATGTTAAGTCTGAACCACTCCTGATGCAGTTTTGAGTCACTTCCCCATGTCCAGTCACTGGATTCCAGGAAGACTTTTAAAGGCATGAATGACAAGACAAACGGCCACAGTCATGTGACACAGGTAACTGAGGGAGAGCTACATGGAAATGCAGAAGCTGAAAACAAGAAAAGGTATTTCCTTTTTTCTCCTGACACCATGTGCCTGCAGGGATGGAAGGCCTGCTGTGACAACACTGGGAAGAAGAGGCTGATGTCACTGACCTGTGGACTGTGACTTCACCAAGTGATGGATTGTGACCTCACTTTCCTCTCTGCTTATCTTGGGGTGACTGGGAGTCTGAATGCCTTTTGTACTGTCACCCAGGGGCAGAGGCTGATGTCACCGAGCAGTAGACTGTGACATCACGGGGAGATGCATTATTACACTGCTTACATTCAGATATTGGCAGAGCCTTCACCAATCTGGCTCCAGCCTGAACTTCTACCAAGCAAGACTGTGAGTCCAAGAGGATCAAGCCAGGCTTCTCCAGTGAGGACTGGTGCCTGCCACTGGCAGATATTGGTGCAGACCTGGAGCAGTCTAACTAGTGTTTTCCTGGCCCTGCCTGGTTCAGGCAGCCAGGCACTGCAGGTGCTGGCAGCAGTGAAGATTGGCTCTGTGGGAAAACATGCCCCCCAGGGGTGGCTGTGGCATGGGTGACGGGGCTCAGGGAGCTGGAAGGATGTCATTCTTGAAGGGCCTGGACATTTCTTCCTCCCCTTCCTGGGAGAGCCAGTGACCATGGCTTCTCCCTCCTGTGACATGTGGCACCAGTGAAGGCAAGCAGCTCCTGATCCTAAGCTCTCCCCAGTGTGCTGCAGGACACAAAAATGGCCATGGAGACAGACGGCAACTGCCCCATTTGCCAGGACACTCAGAAGGACGTGGCTTCTGCTCTGCCCTGTCACCACCGGTTCTGTCTGGGCTGTATCCTGCGGTGGGCTCAGAGAAACCCAGTGTGCCCACTCTGCAGAAAAACAATAGAGACCATCCGGTTTTCTGACTATGGAGAAGGAGACTACCTGGAGACAGCTATCACAGCCCCTGAGGAGCTGCCAGATGGCAGCAGCATGGCAGGGAGAGCTCCTGACACCCTGGCTGAGAACAGCCCCCATCCCCCTGGGACATCCCGTTCATTTTCTCCACAGGAGACACTGTCCCAAGTAGAGCAGGAGGGTTCAGGCAGTATCCTGCCGGAGGACTGGGCAGAACTTTTCCGTCAACAAGAGCACCTCCTGGACCCTGTGCGGCCCTGGCTACGCCAGAGGCTAGAGGGAATATACCGGGGCTGGTGGTGGGTGGTAGAGACCATAGAGAGCACCATCCTGCATGGCCTCTGCGTCTATGGGCTGAATGCAGAGGTCTTGATTGAAGTGCTGGAGCTTCTCCTCCAGGAACACGCAGCACCAGTGATCCACAGTGCCATCAACATCATTGTGGGCCAGTGCAGTGAGGAGGCCCAGAGACTGATGTGCTCTGGTGCAGTCAGAGATGAGAACAATGGCCCTGTGGCCACAGCCAGCTCCAGCTCCAGCAGCTACAGCTCCAGCAGTTCCCGGAAGGGGACTCCTGCCAGCAGCCTCACAGGCTCTGACATGGAGGAGGAACCTGCTACATAGAGGCCTCCCTCCTGCCCAGGGCAGCACCCACAGCCCCTCCACTCCCATCCAGGGCAGGGAGTGATTGCCCGGGGAATCCCAGCACCCCCCAGGCAGGAGGGCCCCCAGCTCCCAGGACTCTCTGCAACCCTGCAAGAGGCCGCCCCACTGGCAGTGCTGGCAGGGCTCTTGCAATTCTTTATTCAAGGAAAAGGAAATAAATTATTATTTCCCTCACACAGTCTCTGGGTGCTGTTTTCTCTCCCTTTTATTGCCTTTCCCCTTCTCTTCGTGCCCCATCGCGGGTGCACCCACATGCTGCAATGCACAGCCATGGACTCCTGCAGCCCTAGGGCCATGTTAGCAGTAGCTCTTCCCACAGGAATTTCTGCTGCAGATGTGCACCTGCAGTGAAGCAGATGCCAAAGGCAGAAAGAGCAGCAGGGGCTACTGGTGTTATCAAGGGGACGATGCCCTCAGCTTGCCTCCAGTCCCCCTCTCTGCTTAACCACAGACACTTCTGCTCTGCTCTGGTTTCTCTCCACTGTCTGGTGCTGACCAGGGCAGCCTGCAGAGGGTAAATATTCTCGCAGATGAGCAAGGTCTACTGAAAACTTCTTCCTGAGTCATAATTTTATCTCTTTGCTACAAACAAACACAGATTGGCACAGATTTATAGATATTAATTTTCTCCTTTAGGATAGTTGGTGCTGACTTCCAAGATCCTGAGGTGATTGGGGTTTCCAATTTCAATCTAATCAGAGAAATCAACTTACTCCATGTGGCATCAGTGGCATGGTGTGTGGAAGGCACTTTCTCTTTGGACATCCAGCCTAGCACTGGAAGTCAGGGTGCCAGGAGGAGCTGTGCTTTGTTGCAAATCACTTCTGAAGCAGCTCGAACCAGTTCATAAGCTGCTAGGATCTCTTTTTTTAGTTGGGGTGTAACAGGCCTCCGATCCTCTGTTTCCCCAACTCCAGAATGCCAGGTGTCATTCCTGAGTCTTCCTGAACACTTTTTGTCAGACACTCCAAGAAGGACCATTCTCCCCGGCTGCAGTGTAGAACACATTTTTTA